CTGTAATGAAAAATGGGTAGTATCCTCCTAAACAATTTTTTAAGGAGCAAAATAATCATCTTCTCCTTTATCTGCTAATATGAAATAGTTGTATAGCTTACATAGAGTAAGGCATTTTGACTCATTTTATCACAGTTTCGTGGCTAAAATCAAGCATATTTCTTGCCATTGTCACTTTTAGCCCACATTAGATGGTCAAAATGGGTTAAAATGTCTATTTGTCAATAGATAATAGGAAGATGATGGGTTTCTAATAGAAGATGATTTTGCTCTTGAAAGAAATTTTTAGAGGAGATACTGACTCACTCTTCAATACAGAATACCCAACACTCATCAAAAAGGGTGAGAGAGAAAATGGTCTTTAATTGAAAAAACGAAATGAAATACGAATTTCTTTTTCAAATGAACAACACACACATTCACGTGGAGCTACCTTCCATTGAATTGGATTTCATGTTTTTTAAAAGTACATATTAATCTATATCATTAAAATTTAATATGAATGATTCAAATTTACAATGGATGCTTAATGAAGGAAAAAAACGTAATGGAGAGAAACCAAGTCATTAGAGCACAAATGAAGTATATATCACATCTCAAAGTAATGAAAAAGAAATCATCGCAACTAATGATAAATTTTAGGACACAAATTATGAACATTTTTTCTTAAGTTTGCAAACATAATACAAAATCTCATTTATCAAGACACAGCCCCACAACACCACCACCATATGCACACACACACATACAGAGAGAGAAATATATTTGTACAAATTAACACAAACGCAATTAACCAGCAGATATTACATCATTACTTACCTTGCTGAGAATAAGCAGGTGGAGGATGAGGGTATGCATGTGGATAACTCATGCTGACTTTAATTAATCACTGAGTTATTTGTATGAGGATGATGAGAAACCTAATCACAGCAGAAAACTATTCTCTGAGAAAATAAGTTTAGCTTCTTAAAGAGAACAACTTCAAAAAGGTACATATAAATGATAAGCACAGAAGCGTTTTGTTTAAAAAGACAATTATTTATCTAATTAGTGTTTGAATATTGAGAAAATACAACCATTAATCCCTATAGTTTCATCGAGTTTTGCTTTTAGTCCCTATAATTTTTTTTTAATGCTTTCAATATCTATGATTTCAACAAATTTGGGTTACGTTTGTTACTCAGGTCCCTAGAGTTTTAGAGTTTTCAGCATTTTTAATTTCTATAGGAACTGAAAACATTAAAAAAAAATTATAAGGATTAAAAACATAATCAAATAAAACTATAGAGATCAATAATTGTATATTTTCTGCTGAATATTTTAATAATAGTAGTTGGTTCAATGGACAAGGATGCAATTCATATCTTAAAAGGTCATAAACCGAATATCATTGTCGATCTAAGATACTTGTTATTATTAGGTAATCTATTATGTTTGTATACAATATTTTTTGAATCATGACTTGTCTTGGCCTTAGTGTTTTCTTAAAATCTGACACATAAGATTTTTCTAATTAGGAAAAAAAAACGTGGGAGGGTCAGAAGGTAGTTTACAATATTAAGAAAAATGCCTGTACCATAGACGATCCAAATATAAGTGTCCTTGTATATCTCCGACAGTCGAAAAGACCACATCATCACCATAATTATCACCAAAGAGCCAAGAGGATTGTATTTTATATATATGTAATCTAAGCGATGTCACAGCGTCCGTGACTTTATTAATATATAGTATAATTTTCTTATTTTAGATTATTAAATAGATAAAACAATTTATATTTCCTAAAAGGACAAGATTTTCCTTCTACTTTAAAGCCTACAGAAAATTTTCCTAAAATAAAGATTAAATCAAACAAAACTGATCAATAGTCTTGTTCTTATTATACTACCATCTCCTATATTTTTGAAATTCATACACTATGATGTAAAAGTGAATATAATTCCCAAAGAATACCCAAAACATTTAATGAGATACGTGTAATTTATTTTTTTTATTTTTTGTTTTTATGAAAGGCTTTCCATGATTTTTAAAAATTTAAAATAGCTAGATATTTGGCAAGACACATAAGGAGTCAGTCAATTAAGCTTGCTACACATATAAGGGTAGAAGTCAAACTATAAACTACTTGTTTAAGTAGGGAGAACTTATATCTTTGAAGGCAACTTAAATTAGTTAATTATGTATAAATTTGAAATATATGAAAGAAGTATGTGTAATCTAAACAAATTTTAAAGAAAGTCTATGTTACAAATATATCTTGGACGTTTTCGAAAATGCGCAATTGGTATTCTGACATATTTTGAAGGCACAATGTCGCCCCAACATTTTTTAAAGTCAAATAATTTTACATAGAATGAGTTAATGGTGTTAATCTTGTCACATATACAGAAGAAAGGAATACATTTCTTAAGGCTTTGGTTCTGGGTATAGAGTAGTAAGTTGGGGGAACTTATAGGCAAAGAAAGAAGGGAGGAGGAAGGATCAACACAAATGGCTTCCAAATATGAATGGCTTGACCAGGATTTGGTAAGGTAATGGGGCCGAGATGAGAGAGAGATTGGGGAAGACAAAGATGAATGATCTGACAAGATTAACACCGTTAGCTCATTCTGTTAGTCTAAGGCAAAATTGTTCGATCTTGAAAAACATAGGGGCAACATTGCACCTTTAAAAATATTAGAATACCAATTGCCCTTTTCTAAAAAGGTCCGAGCATATTTGTACCTTAATCCTACCATGAAAGATTATGATTAAGTAATTAATTATACATTAAAAAAACTAAACCTAAAAATTTATTTCATGGTCTAAATCATTCAAAGTCTACCCCCTCATCAAAGCTAAGGATTAGATAGAGTTGATGGATCACTGTCTTCTCAAAACGTTTAATATTGAATGGTAGCGCCCCAATTAGTTATTCCATCGTTATCAGAGAGCTCTTTATGGAAATTGCACTTCCAAGGGTTGACCTAGGAATAGTATTTTTGACTTGTGTGGTTTGTCTATCCATGTTGAATTATTTGAATTAAAACAAATGAGAGTTAAGTCTAACAGAAAATGTTAATTCTTCACATATAGCAACAATATTTGAATCACAACTGAAAAATGTGCTTACATTTAATGTCTAATCATATTTCAAGCACGATTAATTCTAATGGGAAGACGCCTATTTACAACAACAAAAACAATAATGTCCATAGGAAAAGTCTATTGCATGGATTACACGAAATTATTATGCTTTATTAACAATCTAACTTTTAGGTATATTGTTAACTGAAAATTCTCATTCAACTTCCTGGTATGCAATAAAATAACAAATATGAATTAATATTTGGCCAAAAAAATATGAATCAAATATTAAAATCAATTATATAACTCCACTTCTATATTACAGTTCTTTACATCAAAATGTATCTCAAGCAATGAATTGAATATGTTTAGTTAGTTGTAATTGTGGTACTTAAGGCTCCAAATTTTATATAAATGATTTTTGGGTGTGATTTAGGTGTATAGTAAGATTTTATTAGTTTTTTAAAAAAAATAATTTACTTTGTCAAAATTGTTCAAAATACTTTCGTCTAGAAAACGGTGATATATATTGAATCGTACAGAACCAATCAGATATTCCGGTCTTCACAGAGAGCTCTTATGGAATTGCCCTTCCAAGGCATTAAAACTGATCTAGAAGTCTGGGATTGCATATTTGTTTGGTCACATCAACAGCATCAGCATCAGGGAAAGAAAATGCCCCAACAAATATTCACGAGCTTATATAAAATAAATTTTACAGATAACCTATCAATTTTATATCTACCTCAGTGGTGGGGACCTTGAGCCTGGCCATTATTGTAGCCTTTAATCATTGAACTATTTTGTGTTACAGAAAAGGGGTAAAGCTTCTAAAAGATGACACTGTAAAAGTGAAAGCTATTGATAATAGTTAGAAGCACTTCGTTTCAGAAGCAATGCTTCAATTATGGATCCTTGCACGAGTGTAATGATCTTCACTTCTAACATGCTTTGAGTTACCATGTTTAGATATCAAATTGAATCCCCAGCTTTCAAGCATTTAAAGGTAGAGTAACACACATATAAAGTCTGCATCTCATTATCACACCAACTACTATTGTTTCACTATTTATCTATGAATGCACTATATGCATTCATTTTTTTTAGATGTAGAGGATTTGAATTTGGTTAAATGAAATTTAAAGGATAACCAACAAATATCATTCCAGTTGATAAGAATTTAATCTATAACTTACAGATCATGAATTCAAATTCCACTACCTCTATAAGTATCTATATAACTGTAAGTGTTTTTTAAGTTTAAAAGCATGACCTAATCTTGATGAACCTCAGGAAGTTGAGATCCAACTCACCTAAACAACTTTATATCACCCAAAAAAAAAAAAAGTCAAAGGAGGGAGTGAAAAGCTGTTTGGATGATAATAGCTACAGAAGGCATGCCTGCAAAGGTCATCATCAATTTGAAGCATTCTTATCAACTCAACAGCCATATTGAAAGGCTTAAAATTACATAATCAATTATAAATATTAAGTTTGTATCATCATTATGTGATAATGTATACTAACGGTGATTTGATTAAGTGCCATAGAAGGGAATCCACAGAGCACTTTAAAAACACCACACCTAAAAATCAATTCGGTGTATCAAACAAGCCCTACAGTGCAACCCTCAACTCTATAATGGTTGAGCCAAACCAAACCGCAGAATAAACATCAAAATGGATTTCCCCGTCCAATGGGGCAGGCTTTAACTCATAAGCCTACCATTTACCATTTTGAAGAGAAAGCATGCTTATTACATAGAATATAAATATAAAATCTGAACCTAAACTCCCTAAGTGATTCACAATCAATTTGTAAGTAAAATATTCGGAGAATGCGTCACTAACATTTCCCACATTTACAAGATAAAGAACATTGATCAAGGCATAATACACATTCAGAGAGAAAATAAAGTTGGAAAACTAAAGAACTTAGAACTATCCAATTTTTCTGACATCTTGTATAAACAATAGGCTCATATTGGAATTTGGGAAAACATTGGCTCAACTTGATTACCCGGCACATAATTTCCATGTAAAACTAACTTATAAAATTAAAAATCCAGCTGGAAATAAAATTGGATGAACTAACAGCTGCACTGCACATTATTAAACAAAGACTTATTCACAAATAAGTACAAAGAGCAACACCTCAAGCAACTTCACTTGAGAATGCCAAAGGTCAGAGGATGCAGATAAATTATATCAACTACCAAAAATTCAGGTGTCACTCCAGTTATCATCATCTTCTCCGTCGTCACTAGCAACAACCTGGAAACATTATCAATAATGATAATAAGTTGGATATGAAATGAAAATGAATACTGAGACCTACAAAGGAAAGGAGTGACTGAATAGTGAGAACAAGACTCATGAATACCTGACGTATTGCATTTGCTTTCTCCAAAATTGCAGTAACTTTGACGTTTTTAGGGGGACTAGAACTAGCATTTGGCTTTCCTATCACTGCAGGTCTCAGGTTGAATGACTGTGACAACAATAAAATGACACAACAATGGAAAAATGCATTACTGTGACAAAAAAAAAAAAAATTAAAGGGGACAAACAGAACATACTTCATGCACGTCCTAGTGCAGCACCAAATAAACAAGTCAGTCAATTGTAAGATCTATCAAAATTCAAAATATATATATCTCGTGACACGTTTACAAGTCAAATACATGCACCAAATCATCATATAATGTAAGTTCTGGTTTCCCCAACTCGGTTTTACATATGGAATGTGGAGCTACAAATGGTTATTTTGTTGAAACGAACATGGTAACCAGCTAGGACAAGATTAAAGTAATTTATTCCCCTTAGCTTCAGTTTAGACTCTTAAATAATACATGCCCTTTGCCTTTACCATAATATGCATCAAATATCTAAAGAAATTTAGCACAAACACAAAAATAAGGAAGATTAAAAGTCAAATTCATCAATAGGAAAAACCCTGCATGACAAAATACTCACTTTGGTTCTGATTTGATGCAGGAAATCATCCTTGTCAGCCAATTCTTTTCCCATTACCTCCTGACATGCTTCGTTCTTCCCATTTAACTTCTGATCTATCTGCAGGACAGAGATAGAACTAATGAATACGCGAACCGATCCCATCACCCACCATGGCTAATTAATCGAATATAATGTGAAAGAAGAATTAAAAATCATACAACTACCTTGTGAAATGTCAACTTTTGCGAAATACTTCCATCAGACTTGAGATCATCATGATTTGTCAGTTTTTGCTCCATTTGGGCAGGCATAGGTTGCAAGGAGATGGTTGATTCTGAAAGGTTTAGACATTTAGTTTGTTCAGAATCTCTAAACGTATACTTTTGTGTATCATTTTTCATATCCAACTGCAGTTTTGAGACCCGCTGCACTGGAGGAAAGGGGAGGAGGAGGAGGAAGAGGTGGTGGTGGTGGTTCAGCTTGGCTTTGAGATTTTACAGTATTATTGACAATGGATGCCTGGCTACTTCCTTTATGAAGTACTGGGTTCACACTGTCAAAACTTGGAAAATAAAGAAAAGCCCCGATAAAGAAGGCTCCACACCATTTTGGAAGTTTGTTCCACTAGTCACATTGACGTCATTATTTGATATTCCAACAAATTCTTGTGAGCTTGGCGATTCAGTTGATGATATGTTGTGGGAAAAATCATAAACCCCATGGTCACTGCTTTCAGGACTTTCGCCAGATTCCCACTCATCAGAACTACAGTCTGAATAATCAGACACATATGGAGATGACCTACAGAAAGTGTCATTGTCATCTGAATTGAATCCAGAATCATGCAGTGGAATAGAAGGCTCTGGGACCAACTGGAATGAAGGAAACATATCCCTTATATTCTCATGACGGTTAGTACTGTCAGGGAATTTCAGTCTCAATTTTGAGGTCTCACCCCCACTAATTGAATGGAAAGATATTTTCATATGTTCAAGTGGTGGTGAAGAAGGGAGTGAATCAATAGGATATCCACAACCAACTTGCTCTTTGGAAGTTTTCTCAGGAAGTGAATGAAACATAATGCTATTTTGTCCACTCTGCTCCAACCTGCCGGGTTTCAAAGAACTATCAGGTACAGATTTCTCATCAAAAGAAACCTTCCTGTGAAAGCTATTCCTTAGTAACATCTGACCAAGTCCAAAAACACGAGATGAATTCCCACCACTTCCTTGATTGGGTTCAGTTAAAGTTGCTCTGGAATCAGGGGCAACTGGGAGAACACAACCTGGTGCAAGTACCCTGATTTCTGCCAATTTATTTCCATCAGTTGGACTGACTTCATTACTCAGCTTATGAACACCAGATGTCTTCTCAGTAATAGAAGCTTGATCTTCACAACTTAATTTTAAGCATCTAGAACTTGGTTCCTTTTCAATATCTTCAGCAACCCCTGCTGATAAATTATGTTCCCCGGTACATCCATTGCTCTTTAGCATTGCATTATGATATTGACCACCATCTATCTCAGATTTCATAGTCAAAGACACTTTACTTAAAGGACTTGACCTGGAAAAGTCAGGAGGTTTTGATGGCTCAAGTCCTAATAATCCACCATTAGTCCAAAATCTAACTGAATGGTCACTGGAAGACCCTGTAGGAGTCTCTTTAGATTCACAGACATTGCCGTTAATCCTATCTGCTTCTTCATCTGGTAAACCAGAACCTTTAGAACCAGAAAATGATATGTCACTTTCAATGGATGGAGAAACAATATTTTTAATTGTATGAGCACCACCCAAAGAACCAGTGCTTGCCGAGCAGGCAACAGCCAAATTTTCACATTTGCTAGGTGCCTCTTCACGGATGGGCTCTCAGAGACCTGAGAATCAGCTATATCCCGGGACATTTCTTCGTTAACAAGAGCGTCTGATTTAGCTGCATAGAGATCTGACACAGAAGGTGGATTTACTAGTGGCGAGTCTGGGGAGTCCCCATCTGTTTCTTTTTTTAATGAAGCACTTGATACACTAGACATCTGTTCATAGATGGGACTTTCAAAGTCTTGAGAATCAGCTAAATCCTGGGACATTTCTTTGTTAACAGTATCTTCTAATTTAGATGTACACAGATCCGATATGAGAGGTCGGATTTACTTGCAGTGAGTCAGGGAAGTCCCTGCCTGTTCCCTTATCAAGTGAAGCACTGGATAGAATCTCAGAAACAATAGAAGATAAATTGTGGTCTAGTACATCAGAATCAGTGTCAACAATTCCATTTTCCATTATTCCATCTGTCACATGTGAGGTGATTTTATCCACTTCTCTCTTGGTTTCACAATCAAGATCATTTTCAGATTCTACTTCAATGCTATTACGTGCATCCACGTAGTTATCAGGTTCACTATCAATTTCATCTGTTTGGACACTGCTGGTAACAGGTTTCAGGTTGCTTTCTTCATCAAATAGGAGATCACTGCAATCAACTTCCGTTAAGGTAGCACCTTTACCATCATTCATATCTGGATCTTGCTTTTGACCATGCATCTCTGTTATTTTATCTTTATCATAGGTTTGCCACATAGGCTCCACTATTTCTTCCTTTTCTTCCCAAGTAACGCCAGACAAACTAGAGGCATTTTGCTTTTCCAAAGAATCAATTGAAATATTATCATCCATACGAGGAGATACTGAATGAACTGTATTTTCTTTTCCTTTTCGCCTAGAAGATGATTTCTCATAAACCTGATCATCCAGTTGCATGGAATTACCCGGATGGAAGACACATTCAATGTAGTCAGCACCAGCTCTTGAATCAAAAGAATGTGAATGATCTTCTGGATCTGACCTTATTGTCATGTCCACAGTGGATGCTGTTTGTGAGGAAGAAGTTCGTTCATTGACAGTGGAAGAAACAAAATGCATTCTGCACAGACAAAATACATCATGTCAGAATTTACCTGGAATAAATTACACTTGCTTAGATACCTGATACAGCAAGACACATATAGATGTAATACCTCCCACTAATGTTATGAATCTGTTCACCTCGCAAACCTTCTTTCCTTCGTATTGACCTTTTCTTCTGTCCAACATTTTCTTAGTGTAAAGACAAAAATTTGCTTGTAGATTAATTAAATGCGCTTATACACCAGAGGAATGAAACTTAGCTATAGAACAATCTTTCAATGCAATGCTTCAATTAATAATGTACCTTGCTTTTACGAGATTTTCTAGCTCTTTCAAATTTTTCAGAGTATGTTTCATCTGAATAAGCGGAGACCCTCTTGAAGAAGGTTGGATCTGAATATCTCATTAAGCATGATCCTGGGCCTCCAATATCAAATCTGAATGACATAGGAATTATTTCACCAACTAATATATGGGATCTAATTCAAACTGGATTACCAAAGCTACTAGTAACTTTGAAGTCCAGAGAAAATGAAACAGGTCAAGATTTAGAGATACTAGAATCAATCAGATCGAAGCAGTAACCATTCATTACTCCGAAATGAGAAATTACCTCAAGCTTTGATACCTAACACTTGCTATCTTAATTTAAGAGAAAACAGAGGGAGGAGGAAGAGAATCAAAAGAATATTTGGCATACTTATCAAGTAAGTGTAGACGTGGAGGATCACAGGCATTCTTCATACGAGTCCATAATAAATTGCGGCAAGTCACTGTAAATGAAATGACTCCTTTTTGTTTTTATGCGAGGATGCCATTCACAACCTGAAAGGTAACTGCTTTCATTATGGACTCTTACATCATCTGAATATGAAAATATTAATCACAAGGCACACTACTTTTATTCTCCAACACTACTGAACCCACAGGATAAAACAACAGGATGTGAAAATGAATGGGCAAAAATGAAGTTTAGTACAACAGGGAACACCAGCAAAAAACTGAAACATATTAAATAGCCTATTTTTCTTCCATAAAGGTAATCTAACATTCGGAGCTTGCATGCTGATAAAAATCTATATTAACCGTAGCATACCAAAAGATAAGGCAATCTCATATAATAGTAAATACCAAACAACGTCTAGAGTAAAATTTCACAATATTATAGACTTCTTTGACAGATGAATAGCAAAGGCCATCCAAAGAATTAGAAAGAAGATACATCTCTAAATCAACCACATATCAATATAACTCAGCTACCTGGTAAGCATAATTCTATAGATTAGTGGATTATTTTTACCCCAACTTCCTTGATAGAAATTCTAAAATGTAAATTGGTGTTTTTGCTTTATCTCTATGCATAAATTTCAGACTTATTTTGAGAAAAAAATATTAAAATATTTACAAGACAGTCAAATAAAAAAATTTGAGTTGAACAACCATCTCAATTTACTCCATTCAATCCATTTTGGTTATATAAGTTAATAAGATGACAAAAATTACAGGAGAAAAGTAATGGCATCATAATAAGTTGGGAAAAGAACGACTCTAATTTCCAAAAGCAATAAACATTCAAGGGGGAAATGTTATAATCTACATCCATGGATATAACATTTCTAACAAATCAACTAGAATGAGATCACCGATCACAAAGACCATACCAGCTGTGTATGCAAAATGTATGTGGCTAGTCTGTGCTAATACAGCCTTCTCCAAGGGAGGAAGGGAAGATTCAATTTTTTGAACACGAACCATCAATTTGTGGCTCCTATTAGCTGTAATCATTGCTTGCTCCTGTAAACCATGGAAAACCTCTGCTGCAAAACTACACAGGAAAAGTTCCCTATATTAAACAGCAATCACAACAGAACACTATGAATGCCTGAGATTAAAAGGGGCATTGATAACTTTAACATGCCAACAAAGTCTTGTAAGCAGAGAATAATGGATCTAACACCAATTACCAATAAAGAAGAGGGAACACTAAATATATAATAAACAATTAGTTGAAACAGATCAATGAAATAAGATGAACAATGTAGATAGAGAATATCTACAGAAGCGCACAGAATTCTGGCATGACTATCCAAAACAAACGCACGCACGCACATGAATTTATTTTATTTTATATTTTTAATTACCTGTAAAATCTTATCAGTTATAACTTTAAGTAATTTTCTTCAACAACAGAGCTGTGGTTTATTTTAAGCAAAAAAAAAAGGGAGGAAAACTCTGTTCGCTTTTTTCCATTGGCAGATGTTAGATGCTATGTAGAGCAAGGTATTGAGCCATTCCAACTGTATTGCACACACTACCATAGAGTGAATCTTGGAGTAGAAACACTATAAAATAAGCAAATTAAAAGATCCTACATGTCTACTTCTTCATTAAGTCAGAATCAGATACCTTCAATCACTAGGCTGTCCGATTTTGGCAATGACTATGATAGATCAACTAGGAAAAGCAAATGTAAGGGAGAAAAGAAATGGACGCCAAAGAGAGTAGTATTGAAAGACACAATTACTGTGTCAATAACACTAACCTCTCCAACTCTATCTTTAATAGTACTATTACCACACATAGATGCTTATACAATATACAGAATATATCTTTCACCTTCGGTGTTATTCTGACTAATGATAGATGATAGAGCACAATGGCGTCTTGCAATTGTAGCCGACCCCACCTTGGGATTGTTGTTGTCTGACTAATCAAGTAAGTGTTTTCTTAACTTAGTAAGCTTTACCAAATTCTCAAAACCTCATAGTAGGATAGCTTTACTTAACCTCACAGATTTCGATACCTTCTTAATGTCTCTTAATAACAAACACTAAAGGGCTATTCCTCTTGCAACAGACAGCACCACTTTGCTTATACCAAATTGAAATGCAATCAACCTTTTCAGTATATTCTTCTTTCAACAACTAACTCAGACAATACTTTGACAAACATGGTGGTAACAGAAAATGTAGTGGGTGAAAAAAATGGAAAATTAAGGATGTATTTATCACTATGGAACATCTCCAAAAAACTGTTTTATTGATGTATAACAGGGAACCAGTTCAGCTGAAATAGAAGCTTCTAATTTAAAATCAACTGCTACTTAATAAAGATTGAAAGGTGAATGGTGCGGCCTTATAGTTATGGTTAGATACATAAAAGTTTAAGATAAAGAAATTCCAATCAAGGTTCCAGCTTCATGTGGAGCAAAGTGATGACAGGTTTTCAAGATAACCTAGACAACAGGTATGTTGGATGAATGTGTTTATATTATCCACGGAGACTTGTAGGAAATCAATATTTGCTACTACAAAATTAAAAGGGAAAAAAACAAATAGGTTCCTAAAATGGAGTTTAATCACTAATAAGTCCCATTTACACGTCAACATCTAGTATTTACATATCATCCTCTGTTATTTTGTTAGAGGAAGGACCTATTAGTAATTAGCCACCTTATTTGGAATCAATTTGTAATTTTCCCCAATTAAAGTTTTAGCTCCCAGATTTAAGCCTTTAACGTATTTACACCAGAGTGAAGACACATACATGCAACTAACAGTCACCACTCTCTAGTACAACAACATTATCAATAACAACAAACCTTATCACAATAAATGGGTCGGCTATATCACTCTCTAGTAGAAAGCCAAAATTGCACCCAACTGTCAACATGCCGTAGGGATGCATACTGCCCAGTTAATCATATTTCAGTCAAGTATATGAATAGAATAGTAAGCTACCCATCTCTCATTAATTCATTACTATGTGATTGCAACTCCCAGTTTCACTCTCAATTCAACCACCCTTAGTTAATTATCAGAGGATATTATGACTGGAAATGAAGCTCCATTACAGTAAAGGGTTAATTACATACTGACCACTTAGAATTGTTCTAGTCTCTGAACAGAAGTGCATACCACCCATCTCTTATGAACTATCATGTCTAGGGCTTTATCTCTTCCCCTCTTTCATACCCTCAGTTCAAACATTCAAAGAGGACTTTTACAAGTGGAAATCAAGCACCAGGACGGTAATAAAATATAAGGCATTCAACAAGATCCATATAGAAGATTCGGAAATGGTAGTTCATTATTGTTATGTGCCAAAACGTAATTCAACAAACAAGAACACAAAGCCATCTTAAAATAAAATAAGATGTAAATATAGTAATTCAATTGGCAGATTACAACTACGATTTTTAACATAATGTGCAGCTCATGCGCTGGTAATCTAGAGAGAAGCATGCTTGGTTCACAAATTTGTTTTAGTGATACTTATATCAGAGAACACAAATGTTCAATTCCCAAGTCCTCATGTAAAGTTTACCATCCTTCTGATTTGTGTACATATATAGAGTAAAATAAAATCATCGTATATAAAATAATAACTTTCAGTAATTTGAAATAGATGAAAAAGAACTAGAGCATTGAAAAAATGGAGATTTTAGGCAAAAGCCTTCCTACTGTTAACGCCACCGATGTTAAACCCAGAAATCGTTTGAGGCGAGAAACAGAGTGACTATCCAACTATAAAAGACCCTAAAATATTTGCCGATATAAGTTATAATCGTCAATCAAGCTTAAACCCCACTAATGGGAAAGCTCAAAAAAGTCAAAGACGATTTTGTTAATTTATCAGAGGAAATTTAGCCCAACCCAAAATATACTTTAATCTGGACGACTGAGTGGCATCCTTTCCACACAGAAACTCGGCCAACTAATGATAGCAGCTAAACTGGCCACCATAGTGAAACATAACATACAACCCCATCAACCAAACACGTACAAATTAAGACAGAATAAACCAATTTGAGCAAGCAGAGAAATTCAAAACGAAGTACAAAACATACTCAGCAAGATCACCCAGTTGCCTCAAGATCCCAACTAGCCCAGCCACAGCCACCCCGTCAAGCACGGCCTTGGGATCTTCCTGTTCGTCTCCTTGTACAGCTCAGGCCGCCCCAAACCGTATTCATTTCGCACCTGCAGCCTCACCAACGGCATCTTCAGATTCTCCTTCTTCTTCTTCTTCTCTCCTCTCTATTCCTCGCTCTGAAATATTAAACCTCAACAGAGAAGTGGAGAACCACGCTGATATCAATGAATTAATGGAGGACTGAATGACGAATGAATGAATGTACGAGTTTCCAGCATTAAATGAAAGAATGGTAAGAGAGAAAAAAAAGAATTAATTTGCTTTTGCGGTTTTTAGAGAGAGAAAGTAGGTGAGAATGAGATTGGAGCAGCGTAACTGCCATGGAGAAGGACGCAGTTGGATAGCAGGAAACGGGTGTGTGTACGGATCGGTGAGCGTAGCTGAAAAGAGAAGCAGAGGACATTGCCAACTCTGCAAGCCATTCTTGAACGGAAAGATATACAGTAGGGACTAGGAAGGGAAAAAAAAAAACAGAGAATATGAAAGTACTGAAATACCCTTGTTTTCGATACAGTGACGTTTGTGTCCTCAAGAATTTGAATGAAATTACAGTTTTGGGATCTGAGCCCTAAGGCTTTCTGTGGTTCCGCGGTTGAGACATTGACGACGTGGGAGCCGCAAACTTTTTGGGTTTTGGTCAAATTGGTAAAAGCAGCGTTACGGTCTTTTTTTTAAAAAAAAAAAAAAAGGTATACTTAAATTAAAAATATTTAGACCAAATATAAATTAAACATAAAATTTAAATTATTTCTAAATTTTAAAAAAATAATTTTTTTGCCAAAAAAATTAATTTGACGTCACTTAAATTAATTTTTTCTGTTACCTAAATTTTTAGTCATGAGGTTTTTCATCATAATTTTAATGGTCTTCAATTTTCAATGTAAATATATTTCATTTAATGTATAAGCAATATTTAAAAAAAAACATCAGATAAAATTACAAAAAATGAGTCTTAGGTGAAGAATAAATGAAAGAAAGGGATGTTTATAAGTATGAGAATTGAGATGAAAACAACATGAAAGATCATTCTTAAAGTGCCAATTTCAATCTTAATTTTAAACGAATTATTAATGGTAAATTTCAGTTTTTTATATGAGTAAGATCTATAACCTTGTTTTATGAAGAAGCCATGTAATGGATTAGAACTCTAATCATTTTAGTGATTCTATTTAACATATAATTAACCTTATGCCCGTGCATTTCTACATCATTTTGTAAAATTATTCAAAAATTGAAAAAAGTGAATTATTTGTTTAAAAACAAATAAATAATTATCTCCATAAAAAATAAGATAAGAATACTCGTCAATTATATTTTTACATGATATGCTTTTTCGCCAACATATAATGGAGGAAAACTTTTCAGTCAAGTATGAAATTTCCATTTTTATGAGCGAAGATAATCCGGACAAATGAGAAATAAATAAATAAATAAATAATGAAATGAAATTGATAGAAACAGATTTGTCATTAAAATCAATAACAGATAATAAATTCCTCTCGCGAATTTCATGTCAGATGACACGTGCCCATACTTTAAAACTTGATGCTATTCACCATTTGTTGGCAGGCAGGTCAAGTACTTGATTTCTTTTTCGATGATATTTATATTCAAATACTATAGATGAAACAAAATTATATTAAATTTAAAACTGTCCAACTAAGTATAGCAATATTTGAATTTAATTCAATAGCATCGAACACTAAGTAGTTATAAAAAAAATGTTTTGATGTTACCCGATTATTTGACTTTAAAAACAAAAACAAAATACAATACATGTGAGATCCTATAAATTATTTTTACTTACTTCCTCATTTAAAAATGTAAAGTATTTCTAATTGAATCTCACCCTAGTATAAATAGTTATTTATTTTTAAACCAATTCTATCTTTTTATATTTACTCCTATTAAATATTATATGATAAATATAAAGTCACTATCAATAATGGCACTTTAAAAAAAAAGTTAATCATTACATTTTAAAAAATTAAAAATATTTTATTTTTTAATATTTAATTTCTTAAAAAATATTTTATATTTTTGAACGGAGGAAGTATGAATTTATGAATATTAATGCATTAGATTCCCCTTAAAATAATATATATAATATATATATATATAATGAAGCATCAATTAGGTCAACGATCAAGAGTGAACAAACAAATCAATACTATTAGTCACAAGTTCGGTGAACACTTTGACTTGTTGGATTTCTTCTATCTCTAGAAGCTTTTTCTCTTCATCCAATAACAAAACTCATTTAATTATTTAATTATTTTTAATTAGCAATTTTAATGATCCAAGTTGATGGCAGTAAAACAATTCCCAGTTGGTATAATTATAATATATGGAATTACTATGAATCAATCCTCCACATGTCCTCATATCGTTTTGCAATTTTCTAGTGGATCGGTCGAGTATAACAAGAAAATGAATTCATTTGTTTATGATTTTAGTTTATTTAACTCTCCAAAAGATTTACAGGCAAAAAAATCTCAAAAATATTTTCAAAAATAATAAAATTTTAATAATGATTTAAAATTAAAAAAATCAAGAAGTGTTGATTCTGATTAATTCAGAAATTAATTTTTAATCTTTTGTTAGAAATGAAAATTTATTTTTTGTTTGTGATAAATATTTACGTATGATAATTTTTTTTGCCAGAAATTTATGTATGACGATGATTCACTCCATATAGACATTTTTTTACATGTATATATATAATTAAATTGAATTTGAAACCAATTATATCATTCATGATTTATAAATAGCATGAATTCTTATATTGATTTATTACATATATTGATACATTAATATTTAATTTATTTTAAAATTTTAATATGTGGTTTTCAGTTAGTTCATTCCTCATTCATCATTGAACTAAAGAGTATCAACTCATAGCCATTGCATTAAAGGCCTAAGCTTAATAACATTGATATTGATAATGATAGATTAGTTGCTGAGGGAAAAAAAAAGATAAAGATATCAATTATAAATTCCCAAAAAACATTTCAACTCTAAATTGTAAATTGATTTTATTCTATTTCTTATGATGAGTTCAATTTTTTGAACATTGGTCTACTTTAAAAGTGTTTTTAAATTTAATTTTGACTAGACCTAAAATTAACAAGAAAAAGAGAAAGATTGCATCTCGGAATCACTAAAAAAAAAAGTCAATTTTTTTAAAAAATTTTAAATTAATTGTCATCAGAATGATTGTACTATTATTTAGACAAATGGCTAATACCAATGATTATACTAAACTCTTACAATAATCTCAACGCTTGTACAGAAACTTTACTTTTTCTTATTTTAGTAAACTCACTTTTTATTAGAATAATCAGTAACCATAGTTATTAAAAAAAATCAATAACCATTATTTTTTTAAATATAAGGAGTATGTTCCAGCAATAGCAGATTATCTCTTGTGATGCATGGGTTCCAAGTACTTGTTTAAATGACAAAAACATTTATTACTCACGCCAACTTTAATTAGTAATCAATGGCCATTACTAAAAGATTTAACATGTCATACTTTTCTTTGTTTAAGAAAAAATCATTACCTTTCATGTATTCAAGATGCCAAATTTTTAGACATAGTGTTTATTTATAATTTGTCCAACATAGAAGTTTATATTCTATCTATCTATCAAATAGATTAATTGTGGACTTACATCTTTTATGAAATTTAAAATCGACACCATTTACCACCAGATGACTTGAGGAAGCTCCTACAAGACGTTGCTCTTGATGTTAGTCAGCTTCGCATTTGTAATAATATGTCCTAGTTGGATCCCTCCCTTTTCTAAACCCCAAAAAAAAAAAAAACACTATTTATCATTTATAAATAGTACTACCTCCGGACTTATTTATAAGAAACAAGTCATTATAAGATTAAAACTAATTAAATAGTAATTTATCAATATGTATATATTGCACAATTTCTTAGAAAAAATTTAGAGAGGAGTATGAAGCGAAAACCATGATCCACACTTGAGAATATGTTGTTTTTCAATATAAAACTAAAATTTATTTGTAAAACTTTCTAAAGGCACTTGTAAATATATGATAGTCGCTTGAAAATTTAACAAAGTGACTTCCAAATATAAAGCCAGTCACTTGTGAATTTTTATATGCTTGTCAATATATAGGTAAACTACTTGAAAAATCAAGAAAAAATTTATTGAAATTACTATCATGGGTTGAAATTATTGTTAATCTTAGTTAAAAAATCTAGAATCCCAAGTGTTATGGGTTGAAAATACTAAAATTACTATTATATATTGGAATTATTGTTAATATCATTCTTAAATGTGGATCTTGATTTTATCAATTAAGATTAACAATTATCCCAACCCATAATAATAATTTTAGTAATATTTTTTTTTATTTTTCAAGTGAAACTTGATAAATAATTCAGGGTTTCTAATTGTAAATAATGATCTTACGGGATCCTTAATTGTCATTTTTCCTTAGGTTAAATTTCTTTATTTCTAGTAAAATATTAATATAGAAACACAAGAAAGGGGGGGAAATGTACGTACATTAAATTGAATACACATAATTTGAGTTATTTATTTTACAAAATTGGTTAGAATGGAAGGCATTCTTAATTAATCCTGAATGAAACTTTGAATAATTTCACAGTGATTTGAAGCTCACTCATCAAGTAAAACTTTGTATAACTTTTTTAGTATAAATGACAAATTAAAACAACTTTGACAGGATCAGATATAACTGAAGAAACGAAAGTTATGATTAAGACAACTCCTAATTGTAGAAGTCTCTTGAATTAGGATTTATTTAACCATTATATGGATCAGGGTAGCCATCCATCTGTATTTTATTAAAGGCTTTGCCTTGTATTAAAAAAAAATACATTGCATAAATTTAAAATTTAAAATTTAAAATTTAAAATTAAATTCTACGTACATATTTTATTTTCATGTTCCTTGTAAAGCCGGAGACAATTCAACTTGTGCCTGAAATGAAGGATTAAGAAAGGATTAATCTTAATTTGCCATTACGGCACTCTGCTAATTACTAAGTCCAATGCAACGCATTGATTTAATTTGTATATACTTGATGTGCCGCTACAGTCTAATGCCAATCTGCTTTGCTTTAAAATTAAAATATAACTTTCAAAGTTGACAGACAATAGTGTTAACGTTCAAAGTTGAATAATAGTCAATTCATAAGTTTTTATTCTTCAAGCGTACTTTTTTCTCATAATTATATATATATATTGCGTGTGCGCATGTGTGTGTGTGTCACGATGCTAAGTTACTGAAACAAAATTGTGTAAAAAGAAAGAAGGGTAAAGAAAAGTTGCAGAGAAGATAATATTTTTTAAAGCAATATATTATGATAAGAAAGTGAAGCTGAAT